AAAATCGCAGCCATGTTTACTTTTTTTTAAATCGAAGGGGAAGCTTCGAGCTTCGTTCGACCGTAAACGGCATTTCCGAGAAAAATTTAGCCAAGTCTGTGCACTTGGTTGAAGTTGGCAATTTTTAGTGTGACAAATATGACGATTTCCATGTGGCCTCGCATTTGAAGGGTTCCAGGGCCGAGGGTCCGTTGAACTTAAAATTCGGATACATCTTCTTAGAGTAGAGGCTTCAAGCTCTAATTTAAAAAAACGGTCATCATCCTACGATGATTCTTCGCGAAGTTATCGCCGAGTCAAATTCGGTCACTTTTTATCGACCACTATTTTAAATCGCACCTACTCATTCTTGCCATAAACGCATAAAATCCGCGGTCAAATTACTTCGATCAGTTTCAAACGAGACCCCTTCAATTCAAAGAAACCCTCTCGAAACCCTAAACATCCTCGTCGCCGCACACCCATGATCAAAATCTCGCGATTTCTGAAAATATCGAACATTTATTAAACAAGTGGATTTATTTCAAACTCCGCCGGTTTTCTCGCGTGCAAATAAAGCTCGATCTGCTAGCCGCGGATAGCGTGTTAATCCCGGATGGACTCCGCCGGGAGAAAAAAAACAGAAGAAACCGACTAATTTGGCGAGACGTTAGCCGCGTCTCGCGCGACGATATCCCCCGGTAAGAGGTAACACGTGTAGTTCGGAGAGGATCGCCGGTGGGTGTAGCGTGAAACCGTAAATACTCGGTCGGTCTCGGAGCGTTATCAGGATCAGAAACCCTCCTTCTTCGGGTCGGTCGGGCTCACGAATGAACGGAACGCCGGTAGGCGTGTGCGGGTTATGCGAGTAGGTGTGCGCAACGGCTTGTCGGTGTCTATGGAATGTAATACGGTGGCTGGCAGCGTCACGTGGCTATTTAGAGGAGGCAGCGCGCGGAAGGACGAGGGGGGACTCGGGGGGCTCGGAAGAAGAGTTCTGGAAAGGCAGAGCGTAGATAGGGGTGATGTCCTCGAGCTGAAAGGGGCGAGGCGGCGCGAGGGGGGCGAATCTGCGCGAAGAGGCGCTCGAGGCGATGTTCTCTCCTTTCCTTGGTCTGTTTCTGTTCTAACCAGCATCGTCCGCCTTCTTTTTCTCCTTGTCCCCGTTGCCCGGCTCTTCTTCTCGCTTCCTTTCTCTCTCTCTCTTTCTCTCTATCTCGCTCTCTTCTTCCTTTTTTCCATTTTTTTTTTCGTAGTAGGTACGTACATTCGACGACTCCAGTTCCTCGTTTTTCTTCGAACTCTTCCCTTTTTCCGCGCTCTATTTTCTGCGCTAGCTGCGCCCCCCTCGCCCTCCCCTCGCGCAGGGATCCTTCTTCGTCCAGCCGTCTTTTTGCTCGGCTCCTCCACCCGGTATCTTCGTACACGTTTGCTTTCTCCGCGCCGCCCGCAGCTCATAAGACGACACTTCGGGAGCACACATTGTTGCTCGCGCATGACACCCGCTCCGGCACCGATTACAGGACGCTCCGTGTCTCGCATCCGCGATCCTAAGCACCGACGGATACTCGCCGCGACTAATCACCCGGTTCAGCTGGCTCAGGTCTCCCCGCATTGGCCATTTTTTAATTTTCTTACGGCGGGGGTACTCGCGCCGCTCGGATTCTCGGCACGTGCGGTGTTAGCAAAGATTCGGCTAACGAAAGCGTTCTCGGCGGTGGAAGAAATATCGGCGGAAATGAATTCCGTTGTATCGGAAGGGATGACGGATGAAAGACTAACGAGTGATGTTTTGTTCGAATGAGAATTTGTTCTTAGAGGAATTCGTACGGAAAATAATTGATTCGAATAAAAATGATAGAATATAATGAAGAATTATTCGAACGAAGAATAAAGAATTGAATAAAGAATTGAATAAATACATTGAATAAGTAAATAAATAAATCGATTAATTGAATTTATAAATATTAATTAATTAATCGAATTTATAAATATAAATTAATTAAATAAATAAATTGAATATATAAATAAAGAATTGAATAAAGAATTATTTGAACGAAGAATTATACGATCAAAATGTTCGACTAAAAGAAATTCATTCGTACAATTATCTCAGATAAATATTTATTCCAAACAATCCTAACACAGTAAATTCTCTCCAATTGTCCCTCAGCTTGTGATCGAAAGTGGACAACTTGGGGAAAGGTGGCGGCTTTATAGCATTTATATTTAAACGACTCGGTTTTATAGTATCTATATTATTTCATATTATTTTATAATATCTATACAAAATATACAATCGTATCTCCTTTTCCCGAATTGTCCATTTTCGTTTACAAACCAAGGGACACTTGGAGAGTACTTACTACAGCGCCATATACTTTGCTACTGACTCGGTTTCGCTCCTACCATGCTTCCGTTTCCTGTGGATGCTTTTTATCGGAAAAATTCTCACGCGTTCTCGGAACGGCAGGTAAACGACGCCGCAAATTCGACGAAGATCCGTTTCGTAGTTCCCGCGAAAAGAATTCCGAAAGTTCGAATAGTGGTCCCAGTATGTACATCGCAGCTGGAAGTTCGTCTTCCGCATAATCCCGGTGCCCCCACCCCCGTGATAATTCTTCGTAACGCACAGCCAGAAGCGTATTCGTGACTCCCTCGGCCCCAGACAACGATGAGCCACGGCGGGGTGGGGTGGGGGGCTCCGCAGATGCGGTCCGTCTCATCCGCTCGGTTGGCTCGCAGGGCTCGCGAAAAGCCAGACCATTGACACCGGCGCGGCGCGTGCTCTGCCCGCCATTGTTACCAGGCTAATAATGAAAAATAAAGGCTCCTCTTCCTTGCAGGATATTAGCTCTTTCCTAGCCAGCCGAGCCTGTCCTTTCTTAACGGGCCGCCGTGCCGGGCCACGGATAAGGAAACGCGGCCCGACATCCGGTTTCCGCATTGCTGCTCCGCTCCACGGAAATCTCCGCGTTCTTTAATCCGTCCACGATCACGGAACCCCTTTTCTTTTCTACCTCTCGGCGTGCGGTGAAAGCAAATTACCGGCCCCGCTCTCCCCCCCGTTCGACCGTGTTTCCCTGTAAACGCTCCCTCTCCGCCCGTGTCTTGTCCAGAATTAGCCCAGAGTCCACAGACGTCCGTGATGCTGGGAATGCGTTCGATGTTCGTCGTGACTTCGGGAATTATTCTTTTCGTTCTGCGAGCCGAAAGGAAATTCTTTCATTGAGACAGCCTTTTAGATGCTCGAGTTTGACGCGGTTGAATGATGTTCGACGTTGTACGATGTTTGGAAACTTCAGGAATTATTATTTTCCTTATGGAAGCTAGAAGAAAATTATGTTACAGAGCCACGATTTTAGATTTTCAAGTTTGAGGCGGTTGTCTCGTGTTTGACGTTGTTCGACGCTTGGATACAGATATAATATAAAAATTTTCTTCTGTGTATCTTGCCTGCACTTAGTCCATAGTCCATAAATAATTCTTCTTAATTAGTGAACATTATTTTTCCACAGACAGATTTTAGTCCTTAATGTTTGACGTTGTTTGAGGCACAGGAACATCTTTAGTATGAACGATTATATCTTTCCCTCTCGTCTGGAGCCAGTCCATAGTGCACAGACAATTGTTCTCGCCCGTACAAATTATTTTCATACAAAAAAATATTATATTTCAACGTTTGACATTGTTTGAAGCTCAGAAACACCATCGATACAAACATTTCCCGGCGTCTATCTTATCTCGAGTGCACAAATAATTGTCCCTCTTATTAAAATAATCTTTCCAGCGTAAAATCTCGAAGTTTGACGCGGTAGTCGGTCGTTTGACGTGGTTCGAGGACCCGTGAACACCTCGAACGGATTCAACAGGCTACCGATATCCATAAAATCGGCCGTAAAAGTATCGTTTGACGAACTGAACGTCGCGTTACGATCTCAAGGGGGTTAAAATCGCCGATTACACGGATATAAATTCGGGGCGTGACAGAGCGGCTGCACCTGGCGTGGAACTAACGTATCCGGGCGAGCATCCGTCAGGATTCGGATGGTAGTAGCTAGACAGAGGCGGGATTAGCGGGAATACGTTTGCCAATAATACACGTCGCACAAAAGGGCCATCCCCTAATTGTAGACCCCGTCTGTTTGGAAACGAGTACGGGCCGCATTAATTCGCGACGAGTGTGTTGTTTCTCAGTGGTTCGTGAGGGGTCCGCCGGATAAACCATACAAACCGGATAAGTATAGGGGGCTGCGGCTGATATTAGCCGAACGTTTGCCCCGGCCACTCTACTTTTCTGGCATTTAGAGTCAATTAAGCCGGTTCCCATCGGCCCCTTTACGTCCGCGGAAGTAATTAGAACCGTGTCCGCAGGCTTTCTATACGCGACGTCGACGCACGAGTCGCATGTCACGACGTTGCAACGTTCAAGAAGACGCTCGTTACACCACCCGTTCACCCTCGCCCTTTACAAGGGAAGCAAGCCAATCGGAAAATTTCGATTTTCTTTGCTACTGTGCAAGTTTCTGCAACAAAAGTTTCCAGTCTTTATATGGGGTGTTCATTTTATCCTGCACTCTCAGGGGCATTTCTTCCAAGTATCGAAGGTCATCGCTATTTTTTTTACACATTAAAAATTGACTTTTCGATTCATAAGTAAAAAATATACAAACAAAAAATATACAAATATAAAATATACAAATACAAAATATACAAATACAAAATATATAAATACAAAATATACAAATACAAAATACAAATATAAAATATACAAATACAAAATACAAACACAAAATACAAATAGAAAGAAAGATTGACACTTTTATACGTAAATAAAGAAAATTTGTTCTAGGTGAAATATGACCCGGCTTCGGCTTTCGTCCGACCATTAAGCCCCGAGTCACCTTACGAACGAAGGAAAAGCTAACGTAATCGCGATATCGCGAAGCTATGATTATTTCGGTCACCGTAGATCCCAATTAAGCGTTCCCCGATTAACGAATGCCTCTTCCGTTTTCCAGATCCGAAGATGAAGTGGCCATTGGTGGTGGCTTGCCTTCTGCTGTCGCTCTCGTGCATCCTGGATGCCTCGCATGCCGGTAAGTGCTCGCCCCGTTATCGCATAATCGTTGAATAAATTCTATCGTGGCGCAATCGTCTCTCTCGTTGGTTTCGCGTATCGACCGGCCGACAACGGACGGACCGACCGACCGACCGACCGGCATGGCACAACGTGCACGGCTTTCTGGCAGTGACCCGGTCGGCTCTCCCTCGCGCACCATAAATCTTCGCTACCCTCGGACAATGAAAAAATCGAACGAGACATTCACGAGCGGACGGCGGCTTGTTAATAAATGTTTCGAGACAGCGACACCGGTCGTCAAACGGCGCGCCGCGTCGCTGCCCGACGATAAAACCGGCTTCGCCGCTACGATTTCCGGCCACGAACCGGCCGCCATTATCGCCTCATAAATCATCCCCTCGATCGACAGTGCGTGAAGGGTGAACGCCGCGCGGCAACTGGTTGCTACGCCCTTGGCACCACGCAACGAGCTGTGAAAACGAGCATTCGAAACCAGAAAAACAGTCGACGCTTCTCCGCGGTGACCACGTGCCCGGGGCCTCCCCGAGTATCGAGCCGTCATTGCCGCCGCGCGGTGGGCCAAAGCGGCGAGGTCGCGTCGAAATATGAGATAACTTTCGATGGAAACGAGATAAAACGATGATTCTTTTTTTGAATGAAAGCTGAAACGTTGCGGAATAAGGGAAAAATTTAGAGAATGCGGTGCGAACGTTTTTTGACATGGTAAATTTATGCTAAACTTGAAATGTTCCGACGAAATGGCAATTTACACAATATCGTGTATAATTTGTATATTTTTGTACGAGTTGTACATCTTTTCAAGCAGATTTTCATCGGAAAATTCATCCAACTCTTCAAGATTTTGAAAAATAATTTATTTAAGTGAATAAGCCGCAGTGCAATTTATATTGAGTATCAAATTTTCTGTAATGGTATTTTCATCTTTCGTGCTGGAAATTACGTTAATATTTGGTCTTTATAACTTATCTCTCGTTGACGAAGTTTATTATTAATGATGATACATTATTCTGTTCATTTTAATCGATTTTCCGTAACTTTAATCGATCTTATATAATTCTAGTCGATTTTTATCAATACGATTGAGATCATCGCTTCGTCTCCTTTCAGTCAGAAGTTCTTTGATTTCGACGCAGCTCGGCCACTCTGCTCGAATTATGATCATTCCGGGAGGAACGTCAGCAGGGAGTGGACGATTCCTTGGACGCGATGCACAGCGAACCGTGCACCACAACCGCAGACCTTCTCCGGACGCACCGGGCCGGGCGTCCGGATAAATTACCTTCGGCTCCCTTTTCTGCTCCAAGCACGCGCGACTACGACACATTGTTCTTGTTGTTCCCTTGCCCGCGCTGCGATTAATCACCGGATTCCCCGACACGATCCCCTTTGCGATTAATTGAGCCGGCATCCGTTATTAAATATCCCTGGCGGAAGCTCGATTTTCGAAAATTCGGCTGTCGGTCGTTTGACGTTGTTCGACGAGGTTTCGTCGCGTTGCCGATTACTTTTGGACATCGATTCGTAGGAATTAGACGACGAAGGTTGTTCGTTAGGTCTGGAAAATTTCTGATTGGATTTGGACTCGACCATAGAATTCTTGAGATTTTATTATAACGCATGTTTGACGATGTTGAGCGCTGTATGTTGTTCTCTGAATATTGTTTCTATTTTTAGTGAAATAGTGGAACTTAGGGATCTTTGAAATAAGTACAGAAAATTTTGGATAATTTGCACCTAATTTTGAACCACGTTTGAGGTGGTTTGACGAGGTTTGAGGACGTTTGAGGACGTTTGAAGCGTCAGAATTAGAACCGCGCGACGTCTCTTTCACCGACAAAACGAAACAATCTCGCGGATAGGAGACTTTCAGACGAGAATTAGGGCACGGGACTGAAAGTCAGTGCATGATCAGGCAAATTAGGTGAAACGAGGCAACCGGGCGAGTGGCTAAGCGGTCGAATGCAGCCGGTAGATTAGCGGCGTGAACGAGCAACGGGGATAGGAGCAGTTACGGTCTCCGCTGGCAAATAAACGGGTCAGTCACCTTTCTGGCACACGTTCCGGTCCGTGTACCGAGAAGCCCCTAACACTCGATACGGTCCTTGTCCGGCGGTATGCAACTTGTTTGATGCCGTCGAAGCAAATCTCCCGGCCTCGTCCCATGTCGCGGCCACGAACAATCCTCTGTTCGCCGGGGGTCCGGGCAACTCGAACTTCGATCCCGCCGGGCCGCGTGGTGGGAGGTCCCCACGTGGGACGCGGCTGGAAGGAAGGTTGTTCAGGGCCAAAGTGCACTCACCCGCCCTCGCCTTCTTCCTTTCCCCGGCGGAGCAAAGGAACCGCATCGCTACGAAGGATCCCGAGAACTCCGCGAGACTTTCCCCCTTTTGACTTAATTGGCGGCTTCGAGACTAACGACGCCAGGCGTCTACGTCGATTGAAGTGCCGCTTTGGCCGGACGCGAACTAAGAAGCTGGAAATTCGTTAATGGTTCTCCCGCGAAACAATCGATCCGATCGGGGATCTCGAGTGATCTCGATTCTTTCGGCTATAGAGAGACGCCGCGCCCGCCCCGAGCCACGTGTGCCGCCGATATTAATCCGCTGTCTCCTTAAAAAGGGAACTACCGGCTCGAATTTTATTCATGGAACCGCCGCGGAAAGCAGCTTCTTTGACTCTTGATCGAACGACGATCATGCTGCTCCGGGAATTCTTCTCGAGCCGGACGGAATTTCTTTGCCCGAGGAACGTGGATCGCTCGACATTTTCATAGGGTTCGCGCGCGAACGAAGATGTTCCGAGAAATTTACCGGTGTTCACTGATCGCGAAATTGCCGGTGCTTTTACGCAGAAACGATACCGAGCGTTGAAACAAATAGAATATTCATTGTTCTCGCTCTTTTTTCTTCGGAGTTCGTTACATTCGTTGCTCGATTATGCTCGAGTTGTTCCAGTTAAAAGTGATTCCTTTTACATCTTACTTTGGTATCTGACAGCAATTATGGTATACTGAGTGTCTCGGCTAAAGGAGGCAACCTAAATGTCAAGATTATTATCGGAGATATTGAGAAACATTAAGTCGTTGGGGACAACTCGAAAATTTAATTTCGTCGTGAAATGTGTCAAATATTTGTCCAAATATCTGCTACATAATAAATGATCGAATATCAGCTAAACTAATAATTGGACCGTTTATTTTGAAAGTGCTACAAGTCCATTTTCTTAATTATAAATAAAAAGGTCGCGCTAAATTACGCGTATCGCATTTTTAAAAAAAATGGACTTCCACCAATTTCAAAACAAATGGTCCAATTCTTTAAATAGCCTTTTCTAAAAAACGTCGACTAATGTATATAAAAAAGTCACATTTTATTTACGATAAAATATTCGAATTCAACAGCGTTCGTTGATAAAGCTTCTCGTTGTCTCCAAAAATAGCGGACACATTTAGGTGACCTCGTTTGGCAGAGACATTCTGCATAGTTAATCCGAAGACCTACTGCGAGTAGAAACGGTCTGCGCCAGTCAGACGCTCCAGTTGCCGGCGATATTCCCGAACGTAACGAAAGCATCAAGTATGAAATATTTAAGTCGCCGATTGTGGCCGAATGTAGCGGACCTGTATGCATCTCGGGATCACGCTGGGCGGGGGCGACGATAAAGTGATCAAAGCCGTGGCGAAGGGTCGACAAAGAGCAAGAAGGGTCAAGACAGTTCGAGCTCCGGTCCTCCGTGGCAACCGCGTCGACGTCAACGGTCTTTACGTCATTGTCCCACGAGATCCATGCCATTAACGAGTTTCGAGCTTCTTACTTTCCATCGAAAACTCTCTGAAGTGTTGCTGCTTCGGCCCACTTCAATCGACAAAGACAGCTTTCCCGAGGACCGGAGCTGCCAATTAAGGTAGTTATCAAATTCGCCGGCTCAAAGGGAATCACTGATCGCGACCCTGAATTCCGTGCCGGCGACGACGACGACGACGACGACGACGACGACGACGACGACGCCGGCGCACGTGCTTTTTTACAGTGACAGTGGTATTTCCGAGGGATCTATTGTAAGAGGCTCTTCGTATAAGATCGCGTTTCTTGTCATTAGGGCGCGCGCGTTTTGATTTGTCCGGAAAGTGGAAGCGGTAAGCCATGATCAGACGCGATGCCAACGCGGAGTTGAAGAGAGATAAAGCGAACGGGATCGATGAAGTGCTTCTCTCTCTCGTGAATTTGTAGAACAATGTATTCGTTATTGATTTTAATTCTGAAGTTGAAGTAGAAGTGGTACGTCATGATCAGACACGAGGACAATAGCAGACAAATATGTATTAATTAAATTATATAAATATGTATATATGTATATGTATATAATTATATAAATATGTATTAATTTACAAATATGTATTAATTAAGGAACATATTATTTCGAAATAATATGTACACATTTATTTTTATTTTGTAGAGCAAGTAGAAATGGTCAATCACGATCAGACACGATGACAGCAAGCAGTTAAATATAAATAAAAAGCACCAGGAAAATGAACGCAGTCTCTGCAGCAGAGTTTGTAATTTGTAAAACGATGTATACATTTTTATTTTTATTTCGTGGGGGAAGTAGAAGCGACCAGTCGTAGTCGGACAGTCTCACAATAACTATTCGAATGAAAATGAAATAAATACAATCCATAAGATGATCTTACGAAATTCCTAGAACAATGTACGAATTTTTATTTTAAGGTAGAAGCAAGTAGAAAAGTCGTAGTTAGATACTCTGACTTACTTATTCTGATTCTACGTTATTCTACCCTCTGAATTAAAATTAAAATTGAAAAAGTTACAATTGCAGAAAAATGCCTGAATTCGTACGTTACGGGCGTGATAAGTAGAAACGATCGGCCAGGAACAGAGCCATCCGGAACAGAATTGTCTCTGCCGTCCTTGAGGGGCAGTTATGCCAGCGTCGAAGAATTATTCAGGATACGTAATTTCCGATCGACACGTT